AAATATTGCTTGAAATATAATTTTTAACTGCGCATATAATTACTAATCATCACTAAATTGTTGTAATTTCATTTGAATGGAATGGCCGAAACGATTATATGGAGGTCTGATCAGAGAGACAAGCACGATTGCTAATTTAAATTAGGTTTTTTCTTAATTCTACAAAAAATTTTCATATGATATTTCTCAGAAGCTTTTGTGATGCAACTATTTCGGATTTGCATTTGCGTTGTGGAATCGAATGTGGACCTGTGTCGTGCGGAATATTTGGACTAACGAAATGGCATTATGATGCAGTTGGATATCCCATTGAAGAAGCTATTTATTTGGAACGTATCGCTCCCGAAAGGTTATCATATTTTAATCGTATTAATAAAAACTTACAAGGAAGTAAAAATTCTATTTATCTATAATTTACATGAATGATTATTAATTAAGTGTAAAAATTATAGTCAGTAATAACTGACTGCTTTGCTACTACAAAAAGTTAATGAAATTATAGTGCAATAATTAAAATTAGTGATTTTTTTTAAATTAATAAATTATTACTTCTAATTGACTTGTAAGCAAAGCTGTTTTGCTTTATTTTATATTTTCTGGTAAAATTTTGAATTTTTTTCTGTTATTTTTTGATAATTTTAGTGGAATATATGTTGCTGAATTAGCAAAGCAACAATTAGAAGACAAAAGTAATTATCGTTTTGAAAAAATGGGACAGTTTTGGCGTGTAGTAAATAATCAACATGATGCAGTTGATAGCAATTTACCGTCAACGATACTCTTCCCAAATTTGAAACGATTTTCGTTGGTTACAGTACCACAGGCTGTAAACAGATTACTTCAGACTATTTCTTGCAGTAGTGATTCGTTGCTGAAGAATAATGCTTCAATGGGTGGAAGAAGAAAGAAGTTTGTCATTTCATTGAAAATTTAATTGTTTTTTCCATTTCAAATGCTTCAAAACTTACTCATGCTCAGGTACTCAAAAAATATCATTTTATATTTTAAAGCATTTTTATCACTATAAAAATTACAAAATTAAAAAAAATTATCCTTGGAACTGAAAAAGTATAGAAATGTTAGTTATAGCATTATACCAATATTGTATGCTCTGAAGGCATTCCCGTGCATGCGAAACTATTCTGTTCTGGAAATCGCTTCGTCCTCGCTGAATCCACGACGCTGATCAAATGTGATGCTTTCGAGCGTTTCTTGAGCACTATCGACTGATATATGCCTCAACCTGATCAGAGATATTGATTTCCTTCGCGTAACGTTTATGGAAGTTCGTCCCTATTCCATCCCAAGTCATCACATTCGAAATTATTTTCGTCCTGCAATTCATCTCAACTCATCTCGAGTTTATTAGCTAGTAAATCGTATTTTCGCTTCTTCTCGGTTTCGATTGTTATCAACCTGTCCTGATCGGTGATGCCAACCTCTATTAGGAGTACTTTGCGTCGCTTCTTATCGTGTACCAGAATGTTCGTTCGATCTCTTACTCGCGTGTCGACTCTGATTCCCACGTTTTAATTAGCGACGATTTCCAGAACAGAATAGTTTCGCATGCACGGGAATGCCTTCAGAG